TTTCTCCTGCTAACCTGTCTTGTTAATTATTTGGCCAGCCATAAGAACCTTAAGGAAAAGGGCAGAGGGAGATTCTCCCTCTCTCCCGACAATATCATAGTAGGAAAATTAAAAATAGAAAGGTGGGACTAGGAAGCAGCTGAAGACGCACGTTCTGTCGTGTCTTAATCACTGGCTCCAGTGGGGAAACCATGCCAGCAATCGGGCCCCTGGGTTCCCTACAGGCAAAGTGCAGTGTTCGAGAGATGGTCTTTTAAATACACGCTCCAGGAACTCCTGTTCACAGCAAAAGGGTGTGTGTTGCTTTGATGGTTTGCGTAGGTTAAAATGTCCTTTTCTGACCAAATAAATGAAAACAGGATCCCATTCCCCGTTCTTAGTGTTGTTAGCCAAGAAATCACTGTCCATGTCAAAGGTAGATTGGATTTTTTTAATGGGAATACATGTGTGAAACCAAAGAGTAAACAGACCAGTGCTGTCGAGCAAGGTGGCCCTTAGGGAGTACCCGAGCAACCCCTTGCCGGCCCGCCTTCCTCAGACAGTGGGGCAGCAAGACCTCGTTTGCTTTTCCACATGTCTGAAATTCTCTGTCTTTTTGGAAAGAGAATCTGATTCTATGTAACCTGTCTTTCTTTTTCCAAAGTAAAAAACATATTCCACAAAATCTATTGAGGCAGACTTTTCTGGCCAGAAATAAAAAATATCCACAGGCCTTGATCATTATCATCATTATTCAGGATCGTTACTATTTTATTCTCCCTAAGAATAAATTATGTTTTAAGCTGTAATATAAAGCTTAAAATTTTTGCTACAAGTTTTCTAAACGTGAAGTGGTGAGCTTTAACACACCATGAGGGCAGAACCAGAAAGTTTCCCTCTCACTCTGCCCTCAAAACCTTGTTTTCTTCTTCAGGTGTGTGGCACATGTGGAGAACTGTTCAGATGGGAGTGACTCTGTGAGAGAGGGAGGCGCATCCCTCAGCCTCCACCCAAGATGGCTGTGTGGCCACGTCTGCTTTTCTGAGGTCAAGACGGCCCTGCTGGAGCGGGGCAGCACACCTGCTGTGGAGGCTGACACGCAGGCGGTTCCCAGCTCTCTGGAGCGCAGTGTCCCACAGCTAAAACCCTG